TTCCAAACGGACTTGTCCTTTATTGTTTTTTGTTTCATTTTCAGAACTGGATGACCCTTTGCGTATTCCACCCACTACCTCAGAGAGATGACATCATGCATCCATCAGTTAGTCCAATCAAAATCTTCAATAATATGTATATTTTTGGTTGTTTCTTTAAGGATTTTTGGTTTTTGTCTCAGGATCTTTGAATTCTTGAGAGAGAAGATACGTAAGTAACATTTGAGATACTTGGTGTGTATTGTATTCATTATTGTCCTTTATGGTAATTTTACAAAAGGTGTGTATCATAGCCCTTTGTCCTTTGTGGTCATTTTACATAAGGTTAATATTGTAATAAAAATTAAACCAATTAATGGTGTGCCTTGAGATGAAATGTGGTGTGTAAATAGAGCACCCTAAAATTTAGGGTTTAAGGTGGGGCTTCAAAGAAATGGATGGTCCAAAGAAATTAGGTTGGTGCTAATAGCAGCCCTCAAGATTTTTTGTTCCTTCAAGTCTCATTAATTTTTAATAGACGAAATTACCATTCAAACAATGGTTGTTCATCATTTCTAATTGTTTATAAAAAATTATGGTGATGTAACATTTATTTTGATTTTCAAAACTTGAAATCATCATAATTTTTACAATGTATATTTATTTTTGATAAAATTTATGTTTTTAGAATCAACACAACAAAATCTATCAAATAAGATTAATATTAAATACAAAAATATATAAAACTTAAAATATGTTTTTTTATTACAAATTTACAATTTAAACCATTTTTAAGTTTTAACTTACTTAACTAACAATATTTTTTTGATCTAATTTTTTTAGTTTTTGTTTTGTTTTGTTTTGTTTTGTTTTTTGTTTTGTTTTGTTTTGTTTTGTTTTTTTTTTTTCAAGTTTAAAACTAAGAATACTCTTAGTTTAAAATTGGAAAAACCAACTCAGTTTGAAAACTAGAAAAAATTGAGAAATTTCCCAAAAATTGAGAATATTCTCAGTTAATACTGAAAAAAAAAATAGAAATTTCACAGTTTTACCAGATAATTTCACAAACTGAGATATGATTATTTTTGTATGGCTAAAAAAATAATATTTTATTTTTATAAAGTTTTATATTCAATATTGGTGTTATTTGATAAATCTTGTTGTGTAGACTCCAAAATATAAATTTTTATTAATTATGACATTTTTAAGTTTTGAAAAAACAAAATAAACGTAAAATGCCACATCAACGATACCATTTGAATAATAGAACATATCTGGTACTTTTGAGGCATGGTTAGGGATTACCAAAAGTATTGTGTATGTGGAGAGGGTGGGGCCGCAATTTATATTGAAGCATGAAGTATAATGCTCGGTGACTGGTGGGTAATATTGTCATGTATTGCACTTGTAACACCTAATAATTTTTTATTAGCACTTAATGAATTGATGCTTCTCAATTCCTTCCGTCTTTTAATAAGGGTAAAACAGTCATATATACATAAATATTTTGAAAATAGGACTTCGTGTGTTAAAAAAAAGATAATTCTATTTACACCTTAATTACTCTCAGTTCACACCATTATTCATAATTTTTTAATTGCAACTTTATCCTTCAATCAAATATCGAAATTGCCTTCATCTTTGTACCATCCCTTCATCAACAAACCCAAAACTAACCTATTTACAGCCACCACCACCGACCAACTATCACCGATTGGCCAACTACCACCATCACGAAGTCATCTTCACCGTTGTTGTCGCTGCTCTCCTCCTCCTTCTTCTTTTATTTTCGTTGTTGCAGCCATCACCACCCTCCTTTGCAACTCGTCTTCTTCATTGCTCCGCTATCATTGCCACTGCTGCTTCACTTTCCCAGTCCATCGCTGCTGCTGCCATTCCATAATCACTACCATTACAATGACCTGTCACCATCGCGCTTCTCATCATGTGGAGACCACCACCATTGCAACTCGCCTACATTTGATGACCAACCATGCATAGTCCGTAGAGAGAGATTTGTTGGTTACGACAACTATGCATCGCGGCAATGAGGGTTGCGATGATGGTGAAGCAGTGGTGGTAGGGACGAAGATGGGGGTTGCGATAAGAAAGGGAGAGGGGTAGAGATCAGTGGCTGATGGCCAGTGATGGACAAGGTTTTGGGTTAGGGTTAGGGTCGAAGACGATGAGAATAATTTGGTATCATTTAAAAACTAGTGGTGTGTATTGAAACAAAATTAAAAGCGTCAATTTGTGTGTGGTGTGAACTAAGCAGGTGGTGTGTACTGAAAGGATTTGTGGTGTGTAAATAGAATCACCCTAAAAAAAAGGAAGGAGGATTTAATGGAATATCAACCTTATCAATAGGACTTTTAGATGATTAACCCTACAAAATAACACTGTAAAACTAATCATTTCAAAAGTTTTTCCCAAGAATTCTAAGTAAAACAAAAACCTTATAAGTTATAAAAATCTCTTTGGAACCGCTACTCAAATGAGTCCAGATCTTCTATAGTGTTTTTCCTTGTAGTGTTTGTGTAGTGCACCAAAATGACATCATTTTGGTGCGTGCACCAAAAAAAAAAAACGAAACGAAACGTAACGTAACGTAACGTAACGTAGAAGAGAAGAAAAAACCAAAGAGAAGAAGACCCACAGTGCACGCAGAGCACTTCTTCACCTTCCTTTCTCATAATCGACCACCTCTAGCAATCACCCCTCATTTCTCATCTCCTCCCCTTGCTCTCTCTTTCCAAAATTTGCCATTAACATCTTTGGCAACCCCCCACCTGCGAGATCCACCTCATCTTCCCACTGTAGCCCCATCCCTACCAATTCTTCCTCCATCTTAACTCTGACAAGCCTTTCTAATCCATTCCTACCCTCACTTGCCCATTCCCAACAGCCATTGCCGCCGCAAGCTCTCTCTATCTCTATCTCTATTTCGATCTTGCCAACGCTGGTGTTAGCGGGGGTAGTAGGATGGTCAAATAGTAGAGGGGTAGTATCAGTTAAGCACCTCTCTCTCTCTCTCTCTCTCTCTCTCTCTCTCTTGCTCATAGGTCTTCTTTCTAGCGCTTCTATGTTTTGCTCTTGCATTTCGTTTCAAAATTATTTTTTTGGGGGTGTGCAACAAAACGATGTTAGTTTAGTTTTGCATGTGGCATTTATCCGTGCAAAATTCTAATGGTGAATGATAGCGAGATCACATTGCAACAACATTGAAAATATAAGATTTAAATTGAAACTATAGTGACTAAATTGACATTTTGTTTAAACTATAGGGACTAATGGTTGTTCCTTAACCTTAAAACCCTTTATTTTAAATTCTAGGGATAATTTTTTTTAAAAAAAATCCCTCTAATGCTTGACCCTTGCAACAATATAAACTCCGGGTTTTAAATTTTATCAATTTAAACCTTAATCTTTTAATTTGTTTTTAATCTAAATCATTTGTCTACTTTTGTTACCTAAAATTGAACCCCCCCCCCTTAACTAAAATTGACCCCCCCCCCCCCCAAAAAAAAAGTATTTTAGTTATTAACCTCAATGTAGGTATACATAAAATGTCTAAAATACCCATTTTCATTGAGTTTAATGACTAATATACCCATTTTTCTATCGATTTTACTTAACAAAAATAGGCCAATGACTCAGATTGAAAACAAATCAAAAATTCAGGTTTTAAATTGACAAAATTAAAACTTATGGTTTATTTTGTTACAAGCGTCAATTTTTTTTTAATTTATTTTTGTGTGTGCGTGTAGTTTCCCCTAAATTCTTCCATCCAAAATACAATTTTAGTAATTTTAAATAAGAGGATTTACGTGTAAGTCCTAATATGTCGACTTTGTCCAATATGTCCTATGAGAATTAATGACGTTTTTTATCAAACACTATTAAAAAACGTCACTGATTGTTAATTTTTAGTGACAGTTTGAAAATTTTGTCACAAAAAATGTTATAATTATACTTATTGTCCAATATGTCCTATGAGAATTAATGGCATTTTTCATCAAAGACTATTAAAAAACGTCATTGATTGTTAATTTTCAGCGACAGTTTGAAAATTGTCACAAAAAATGTCATAATTATAAGTTTTAATGACAGTTTAAAAAAAGTATCACTGAAAAAGTCACTAATTTTCAATTTTCAACTTTCAGCGACATTTTGAAAAAATCGTCACGGAAAAATGTCACAAATTGTAAGTTTTAGCGACAATTTATAAAAACTGTAATAAAAAAAAGTCACTAATTGTTAATTTTTTGCATGAAATGCAAAAAATTGTCACAAAAAATTATTTTTAGCGACGATTTTACTAGGACTTGATGGGAATTAAGTCAAACTATTAGGACTTATTGGTAATTTACTCTTCAAATAACTTGGTCAAAGTTCGCAAAATTACAGTCCAATTCATATTAGTTTAGCTAATTTTTTAGTCAAAAGAAATAGGGCAAATTATACATGTAGTCTCTATACTTGCCTCTCATGTCAATTTGGTTTAAGTAATATTAATTTTGCCCTTTAATTTTTCAAATCGTGTCAATCTAGTCCAAGTGATAATAGCCGTTAAAAAATTAAATAAAAATCAAAGGCAAAATGATATTAAAAAGGGAATGAATTATTTGAAATTGGATGTGAATCCTTCAATAACTTTGAAGGGAATTAAAAAACCATTTTGTCCCTTAATTGATACCATTTGCAAAATTGAAAGGTTAAATTGTTGCAATTAAAATTATAAGAACCAAATTGATATAAACAAACTACAAGAATTAACAATAATTTGTCTAAAGAAATACAACACATAAAAACGGAAATTTGTTCCTAAATACTAATTAATATCACGTGTAGCTTGACGTTCTTATTTTTGCATCCAACAATATATTCCATCCAAAATATGTTGTGTTCTCATTATAGCCCAAAAGGTCAAATGAAAATAGCAAAATAATAAATAAAATCTATGGATGCCCCACAGCTATGAAGCTTAAATAAATAAATAAGCTTAAGTCAAAGAAGCATACCTTATTGAAGAGAGGTTGAATAGTATCGTAATTGCTATCCGAAGTATTGCAAAAACTATTGAGCTTTGGTATCGCCCAGAGGTCCAGCTGGTTCAGTTGCAGCAGCTCAATTCCATTTATAGCCTTGCAGATATCAGTAAAACTTGGTAGGCCTGCAAGAAACAATTCCTTTAGTTTAGGAAACACAACTTTATCTGTTGTTTCTGTTGTTGTTGATGCTATCTCATTTTGATCTCCTTCTTCTTCACTCGAAATCAGTACTTCCATCTTACGACATTCAAACACATCAAGTTTCTGTAGTTGCATCAGATCTCTGGCTATGGATAATGAGAACATGCTTTCCAGTTTATCACATCTCTTCAGTTCTAGAGAAGTGAGGTTGCGGAGCCGTACAAGTTGAGTAGGACCCTTCCACAAAAGTGTCAATGCGGGCAAATCTTCCAGTGCCAGCTCTTTCAACGCACTGAAGGCCTCCTCTGGTAGTTGGCCGTGACAAATCTTTTTCAATTTCCCTAGATTATGGAGACGTAGCGACTGTAACACAGGGAAGGCTATTTGTGGAACTGGAACCCCATCTGTTGTTTCAATGACATATTCCAGATCCTGACAATCTTCCAAGAACAATTTTGTTAATTTTTTGAAACTATCTTTGTCTAAATCATAGCCAACATTCTTCACACCTACTGCTCGTGTTATTTCTAAAATTTTAGTGATCTTGAAAAGATTCTTGAACCCACTCTCCATAAGATTACTCTCGTGAAGATCCTCGAGACTAAACTGGTTTTGTAATTGATAATCACAAAAATATCTAGTATGGAACCCAAGGCCCATGGTTATAGCGAATGCTTTTAGATTCGTAAGGACCAAGTCTCTTGGCCAGTATGCGAAACCTCGAAGGTGAATGACCAAAGTTGTAAAATTAGACAACCCACACAGCTCAGTCAAAGTTGCTTTAGTTTCTTCTATCCTGTGTTCATCATTAAAGCTAGACCCAAGATACAACTCTTCTAGCTTTGATAAGCCCGACAAAACACCTAGGCAAATCCTTTTCACACCACATTGCAACAAATCCAGTAGCTTCAAGTGACTAAGCCGACCTATTTCTTTTGGCAACTCCTCGATTTCGGTGCCTTCGAAACTCAAAATTTCTAGATTCTCTAATGCTCCTATTACAGATACATCATTGATCCGTCCGCATTCGTATAGTGACATGCTTCGGAGGTTGGTCAACCATCGCAGGGATGTCGGCAGTGATCCTTCTATGTGCAAATTCAACATGCTTAAAGCTTTGAGTTCCTTCATCCCTCCATAGAAACTATCTGGGAGATTTGGTAGTTTTGATGCATAATTGTTCTCTAGCCGTAAAACATGGAGTTTTGGAAATTCTAGATTATCCGGCAGCTTGCTCATACCAGTGCATCGAAATGAAATTACAGCGTAATTTTTGTGTCGTTCTTTCTCTGGCCATTCTTTCAATGCATCGTCACATCTTACCATAAATGAATGCTCCTCCCTAGATGCTATTGATATAGCAACATCACGAACTACATCATGCATTTTAACACAAGCTTCTGGTTGACCATCCATCAAGAGATAGCCTTTTTTTAAGTCATCGACAAAGGCATGTACTCTGTCTCTTGCTTCTTTGACGCTATCAATGTTCTCAAACAACTCTATCCCAACACCATATCTAACGATATCTTCAATTGGAATATCAAAATCTTCAGCATATAAGGAGCAGAACAAAAAGCATTCCTTAATTTCTCTACCTCCTAAGAAGTCGTAACTCAACTCCAGAGATTTAAACACATTTTCTTCTACTTCGCTGAAGTTTTTTACCATGGACTTGCGTAATTGTAGAAGGGCTGAATTCCATGAATGCTCATCTTTATCTTTGAGTGCTCTCGCAACCGTAACAATAGCAATCGGCAAACATCCACATTCATCTGCAACTTTCTTCTGTGTGCTATACAAATCAGTTCTTGTGTGACATGTGTCCTTGGAAATTCCAGCCATCTCCTCAAAGAGATTCCAAGCTTCTTCTTTAGTTAAGACTTCAACTGTAAATTTCTTTTGAGCATTCATAGAGTTGCATACATTATCAAATCTAGAAGTCAGCAAAATTTTGCAACCTCTATGACCATCTCTAAATGGAATTCCTATGTCATTCAGTTCAAGATGCTTCCAAACATCGTCCAATATGACAAGGATTCTCTTGGTGCCCTTTAGTCTTTCACACAGTCGATCTGCTCTTCCACGTTCTGTCTCCTCCTCAAATTTCAAACCCAATTTATCTCCAATTTCACCTTGAATCTTCTTTTTATCAGGAATTTGGGACACTACAGCCATCACAACCTCATCGAACAATTTCTCTTTATTTGCCCTTTTGGCAACTTCTTTCACCATTGTTGTCTTACCAACACCTCCCATCCCACATATTGCAATCATGTGGAATCTATCATCCTTCAGTGCCTCTATGACATCGTTCGTAATCAATATTCTAGATTCAAAAACCTTAATACCTTCAGTGGATGTGAATTCTATCCCTGGTGGAGGCTCATTGTAGGCCACTTCCGTCAGTTTCCTCTCTTCGTGCAACTTAGCCACCTCTTTTGCCTTGTTGCTTGCTTTCTTACCGAGCGAGTAACATAACTTCAGGTTTCGACACCACCCATATGGACACCCTTTGTTTGCTTTAACTTCATCTTTTAGCATTTCTGTGGCCTCTTTTGCCTTGTTGATTGCTTTCTTACCGGGCGAGTAACGTAACTTCAGGTTTGGACACCACCCATATAGACAGCCTTTGTTTGCTTCATCTTCATCTTTTAGAATTTCTCCGGCCTCTTCGCAGCATTTATCAACCCTTTCCAGCCACCCCTTAACATCAGGTCCTATGACTTTTACATTTCTTTCTGCTTCGTCAACTGATAGCTGTATTGCACCTCTTTTCTCCTTCAACTTCTTGACTTCATCTTTCAGATTCTTGACCTTGCTTTTATAGGAAAATAGATAACCGAAATGACGGCCAACTGGAGCCATTAGAAATTGTCCAATGCCTGCAATCGAGCTTACAATAGGGCCAACAAAACCAACCAAACCAGTAGCCATTTCTCACTTCTATTTCAGCTGTGTACCTCTCTCTGTTTCTCTCTCTCTCTCTTCTTTTTTTTTTTTTTTCTTTTTTCCTTTTTCTGCAATGCAATATGTAAAACTAGAAGAAAACAAACAACTATTGAAAACACAATGAACACAGTTAAAATAGAGTGGCAGAGGAAGAGATTACAACGATTTCTAGAACAAAAGAAGATATACAGAGATTTCTTTATCCTGGTAAGTAACAGTTGAACAAAGAGAAATACAATTTTGTAGAGGACATGAAGATATCAAAGGAACACTCTGCAAGAGCGGATCTAAAGGTGGTTTTCTGTTTTTTTTGACAAGCAAGGTTGAATATAGAGAATCACAATATAATTGGACAAAGAGAACTTGTGTTGTAAAACAGAAATTGCAAAGAAGAAAGTGAGCTTAGTAAAATGAAAGCAGAATGCAGAGAATACTGATTTGGTAATTTTTCAACGCAGAGTTAATAAAATAGAGTTGCAGAGGAGAAGATTACAAAGTTTCCTAAAATCAAGAGAGAAAACAAGGAAATTTTTTTTTTTTCTGGTAAGCAACAGTGGAACACAGAGATTTATAATAAAACTGAAGACAGAAAGTAAGTTGAGATTTAAACAGAGAGAAATAATAGAATTGAAGTGGAAGTGGAAGTAAAGAAAGAAAAACCTTGGACACTTTTCAGAGTGTCTTAGAGATGAAACATGCACAGCCTTAACAACTCAGTCGACAGTGAAGAGAAAAGCTTTTCACCAAAGACAAACAAGACCATTAACATCCATCAAAGAGAAACAATCAGATTCAGAGAGGTTTTGAAGGAGAGTTTGAGGAGGAGTGAATATTTTGAGATCAGACCAATACCTAATCCCCTGCACCATCTGATGCTCTTGCATCTAAAATTAATTTTTTATTGATTATCAGGAGGATATTTTGTGAATATTCGTCGCTTCCTTGCGTGTGTTTTGCTTTGTGATATTTTTTATTAAAAAAAAAAAATGTTTTTTTTAGAATGGTATATTATTTACCGCACTATAATCTAATTTAGCGGAGGGGAGCAATGGCGAACACAGGGCCGGCAGCGGGGCCCACTGCCCCTGCAAATTATTTCAAAATTTTAGGTAATATTATGCATTTACCCCTTTAATCTACAATTTGTGAAGTGTTGGCCCCTGCCAAAAAAAGAAAAAAAGAAAAAAACAAATCTTCTTCAAAGCCTCAAATTGTTTCCAGTCTTCAATTAGAGTTATCCTTCAATACTATATATAGTGTATAAATTATGGTCTAAATTGATGTATCAGGATCCTCTAGAGTAAGAGCCCTAAAGTGATCTCCTAGAGTGAGAGATCCAACGACTGAAAACAAAACTAACCAAAACGACGTCGTTTTGCTTAATAAGTTGGAAAAAAAAAAAAAAAGTTATATTTCAAAAACACAACCTCTGTTTCTTGTATTCAATGCTTCTCCATTTTTAGCCTTTCCTTCCTATTCAACCCAAAATCTTTTGATTCTTAATTTTTATTCCCAAGCTCATGTTCTTATTCTTTATTCCTAAGTTCATGAATTACCCATAAAAAATATGAGGACTCAAAACCAAAACATAGCAAGTTGGGTCATCAGTTTTCTTATTGATTAAAATCAATCTTCTTCAAACCCATTTCTCAATCAATCTCCAACATGGAAGACAAAGACCCAGATTTTTCTTCCCCCAAACTCCCCACAACCACCTAGGTATAACAATATTCATTTTACCCTTATTCTATTTAAAATAAATTTTATTATTACTTTTTCAGTGAATCAAGCATAAAAACAGAGTTTGATTAATAACCCATTTCTAAAGTGCTCTGTTTTTTTTCTATGAATATAGGTTGTGGAAGAGCTGAAAGAGTTATGGAGAATGGCTTTGCCAATAACAGCAATGAACTGTTTAATGTGAGTATAATCTGTAAAAATGTTTTTGAAATTGTTTAACTTACTTTCATGGTTGCTGAGGAGAAGAGAGAGAGAGTCTCTCTACTGCTTTATATTTGCAGGAACCTGTTCGTCATTTTGAACCAGAGCTAAATTTTTTTTTTTTTTTTTTCAACTTACTAACCAAAACGACGTCGTTTTGGTTAGTTTTAATTTCAGCCATTGGATCTCTCACTCTAGGAGATCACTTCAGAGTTATTACTCTACAGGATCCTAATACCTAAATTGATGTTAGCTACAAGTCATTGCCTCTATGAGACTAACAAATTATTAAATCAAATTGGTTACGTCTTATTATGATGTTTGATTATATCTAGAAGTGGTATTGGTTACGATTCATTGTGATTTTTGGTTACTATTAAAATAATCTTTAATTATGACTCAAATTGGTGTTAGTTCTGATCCATATTTGTATGTTATCATTTTTAAAATGCAACAATTTTTAGTAGAAAAATAGAGAAAATTACATTGAAAAAAAAAGTAAAGCAATTGAAAGGAAAAAAAAAAGGAGTAAAATAAAGTAAAAAAAGTGAGAGTACACGAATTCAATATTTTTATTTTGTCTAAATAATTATAATGACTAGAGAATTAATGTAATTTTCTAAATATTAAAGGATGATAAGTATTGAACATAAACCTCAAAAGTGTAATTGTAATTTATCCTTGAAAAAAATAAAAATACTAAACTCAGGCGCTTTGGATTGAGATGCTTTGCTTGGGCTAAACACATTATTTTAACCGCTGTCTCTATCCATCAACAAAGTTAGATGCTTTTATGCTATAATAGACCACATCTATCCATCTATCTATGTATATATTATATAAAGAAAATAGAGTTTTCAACCCAAAAGTCTTGTGGAAGTCTAATATTTCAATCTTAATTTTTTTTATTTAAAAAAAAAAATCAGCATTTATTAATTTCTCTCAACCCACAAGGTTTGTGGAGGATTTGGTCAAAACTTTTCACATCCCAAAATTTGGACAATTAAATATTAAATTATAACTAAACCCCAATCAATATTCCATCATCCAAATCCTAGGGGTGAAACAAAATCTAAACGTTCTCGTCTCCATAAGGTTTTACTAAATTTTCATACTCAAAAGATTACAAGGGATAAAAAAAACTAACAAAACGCCAACCAAACCATCTACCATAATTTCATAACTATCAAATACCTCAAATATTAAAGTAATAATAACTAGTCAAAACAATTTAAATAATGTAAAGTTAGAAAATAACTCATAATACCAAACTATCATAATACTAAGGTCATAAAAAAAAAAATACAAAATACAAAAACTAACATCAACCCTAAGCTCAAGCAAACAAAAGAAATCCAAGAGGCATGTCCAACAACTATAGTTATTTCTCTTCACTACTGTAGTCCCAACTAATCCTGCAAAGGAAGCTCGACTGCGCTCAAACAGAACGCACCCGAGATGCCAAGAGACAAATCAGGTCAGCATACAAGTATACTGGTATGAGTACAAATATTTGACACCCACGTGTCCACCAGACACAAATAAAAATACATTTAATTATTTGTTACGGGACAAGACAAGTCGTTTCACCTGCACCGTGACGAAGGAGTAGTTTCTCGAGATACAGTGGCGTTTAGTTTCTTACCCGTATATAACTAAATATGAATAAACAAAATAAACATAAAAATTATGGTAGGTCAGCCCTACATTAAAAGTTAGTAAAACCCATCATTCTGCAAAAAAAAAAATAGCGTTAGTATAATTTAATCATAAGTAAATTGTTGAAGCAGTATAAAAATGCGTTGTTTCATGCTTAAATCATTCGGATTGACCAAAACTCAAAGAACAAAAGTTGTACAGAATCAAATTTTCTAAAAGACACTGCGATCGAATTTAGTAGAAACTGAACAGGTTGAGAGAAAAACTTGATAGAAGATCCTATACAGAATTCAACCGAAAAATCTAAATCTGAAAACGAAATGAAACTGCCCTAAGATGATTTTTTTTTTTTGAAAAAGTTCAAAACACGAAAAGTGTTCAGAATAATATTTTATTGTAGTTTACGCGAAATCAATAAAAATGAGCTCGTTTCGTAGGTTAAAACAACATCTAAAATCTGCATTGCTAAAATGAATAAAAACTACTATAACCAAGATCATCTGATTACAAGTTATAATCGATCTTTTTAGTACAAAGTTAAAATACAAAAAGTTGTCTAGAATTACATATACATGCCTCTACCCAAATTTCATAATTTACCAAGGTCGTTTACTATTTTTCAAGATGTATAAATCAATACAATTCACACTATACCAATAAACTCATAATTAAATTATATGTACCTTAACTCCACCACTCCGGCCCTTCACTTTCGGCCTACACATATATCCCATGTGCCTCCCGTATACTTAACACCACTCCGAAGTCAAACTTGCACGGGGATATCGTCCCGAGTTTGACCCACACTCCCCGGATGTTTAGCATATACGTACGCATGTAAATCAAAACACTTGTCTACTCATGAGAACGAGGCAAAAATATATATATATACACAATCTCTCATCTACTCACCAGAATAAACATAACAATGACAAGCCTAAGGCATTTAAATAAATCTTATAGTCCTAACACTGATACATTCACATAAATTACATATTTATGTCATACAACTTATGAGTCTAAGTTACCTTTCATTTTCCCTTTTTCAACAGATAAGCATGTCAGCTCTATCATCATTTCAACAGATAAGTATAGAAACTATATCCCACATTCAGATAAGCATATAAGCTATATCCACATCCTCAACAGACATGTATAACAACAATATCTCACATTCACAGATAAGCCTATGAGCTGTATCCACACTTTACCAAGATAAGCATATAAGCTCTATCTTCACTTCTCTAGACAAGCATATGAGCTGTATTTACGGAGTCCATCCCCTATCTTCTCCCAACACTATCCGGTTTAGAGGTACATCCCCTATCTTCCCCTAAACCGCGGAGTACATCCCCTATCTCCTCCTCTACACATGACGTATACAA